GTCTTTCTCTCGTAGTGACTCAACTCCGAGTGCACGCGCACTCGTGGCTGCTAACAAGTGCGCAAGCAGTTACACATGACAACGTTGCAGACGCTGTTATGACTCTCGCGTTCTCACACTTCGGATGCCACCACTCTCGGGTGCGGGTGCATGCTTGTCCGAATGTCAACTTCTTCCAACCTATTCTCCACTACTTCTGTCCAGAATACACTACTTCGTCCACCTGGCGTCTCGCTTGTTCTTTTCCCACACGGAAACTGGCCTGAAGATCGCAACGGCAAGAGTTTAACCTACTAACTTAATACACTGCGATACCCTCTCTTAAGCACCGGCCAACTGTCCGAGTCTCTACGAATGGGTGATAAGGGGGATGCAGTGGCTGAGTCGGCACGAAGACTTACGTTTATCAAAGTGGTTATGAGTCCACACGGTCTGATAAACGCATGTCGTGAGCCATCTCGACCCCATTTTGGTCCTGCATATCTACAGCGAAGCTTGTTGTGGAGATGAATGTTTGAATACTACTACACGCGATTAAAAATACAATACATTCCCTATCTCATGAAACCTCAACCAAAATTCTGAAATGTTTTCGATGGGAACATAGTAACTAAGTATGCTTGCAATAATGCTTATCGTACACCCAAACCTCAGTATATTTTAGTTACGCCAGGTTGCCAGCTTTTGAATGATTGTCATTTTGGCGGCATGAAAAAATATATTCTGAAAAAAATGGCTACTTAAGTAATATGCACTTTTCTCACCGATTTTCACTGTTCCTACAAATTTAAACATATTTTATAGAAAACATGAACAAAGCTATTCTTTCGTGTACTCGTTCGGTCGCAATTTACGCCTCCTTTATATTTTATACTTGAAAGGGCATATCTCCGTTTTAAAAAAAGTTTTTAAATTACCGAATAATTTGAACACTACTGTCTGTTACACTAGAATTCAAGGTCTCCAAATTGCATGCTCTATATATTCCATCTAAGACAAAGTAAATAGTTCCCTATTTTGCAGAAAAGATGCCACATAGTTACCACAAAATTTTGCAATGGATGTAGACCAAGTTGTAATTCATAAGCAGCAATAATAAACGGACAGATGCGTTTCTTAATGAAGGCACATTGCTCGACCGCAAAAAATCTCATAATTCGAAACTATTTTCAAAGTGAAATATACCCCTTTTGAATACAAATTTTAAAGAAGGCGTAACTGCCTATCAAACGAGTATAAGAAATAATATTTAATGAATGTTTTCTTTAAGATATGTTTGAATTTATGGGGGCAGTGGAAGTCCATGAGAAAGTGAATACTTTACCCTATATAGGCCGTGAGAATGATGGTTATTAAAAAACTGGCAACCTGTTGTGACTAAAATATATCGAGGTTAGGCTGTACGATAAGAACTATTGCGACCATACTTAGTTAATATGTTGGAATAGAAAACACATTTCAGAACTTCGGTTGAAATTTCATGAGACAGAGAATTTACTGTAGGTGGTGGGAACAGATACGGGGACATACTGAGCGTAGCCTGGCGCAGCGATATATCTGGCTACGAGCACGTTTCAGAAGAGAAGCAAGGTTAGAAAGATATAGAAACGAAGTAATAGAAAAAACTAGGAAATATAGTCACCGCAAGCATTTCTGAAGGTCCAGCTTTGGGCGCGCGGCAAACTGCTCGGTCGTTGGTCGGATCAACAGACAGGAAACAATTGTTGAAACCCAGAAGGGCGGACTGGCCGTCCTGAAAGACTGGCTCAAACTGTTCCCTGGGTCCCACTGCATCTGCGGCGGCTGTCACCACCCCTCCGGCACTCGTGTCCGTGGTTAAATACTTTCCGTACCTATAGTGTAACACACCATGGAAGAAATCATTAGCAAGCCCAGCGAAATAGCGCAAGCATATAATCATGGAGATGTGGTATCAATAAAAGCATGTTAACCGTCAGTTTCTCCCCAACGTTAAGCTATATCCTGCAAATGGGATAGGCCGGTAAAATCTGATTTTTCCCATATCACTCACTAGAATTATCGCGGTTTCCGACCTTGCGTGAGGAGGAAAATCAGAAAGCAAACACTAGTTCTGGGAAAATCCGACGGCAAAAATATAGATGTTTTGCAGTAGTATAATCATCTCTATTATTATCGTTCTCCATATAGGCCTCATAACGTTGTCGACAAGATCGCCGTCAAATCGCTAGTAATCTCCATCCTCATCGTCGTGCACCCTCCTTAGTCGATGATAAAATTATCATTTGAACACAGAGCGAAGATAGCGAAACAAAGACTTACTGAAATCATATACTTCGTTACCTCTTGTCCGATCATCGGATACCTGCGTACTTTCGTCAACCGGTGCATATGCAAACGAGACGAGCGACAAAACCACACCGACTCCACATTTTGGCGAGTGATTCCGTACATCAAAACGTTTCAGAGGCCGTCGAACGCTTTCTCGCAGCACTTAGGATTGGAGTCACAACGGCCGGCTACGGCAGGATCTGGTACAGATAAGGACAAGAAAACTACGTCGGAGAAACTGAAAGACATCCCAAGTCGCGAATTGATGAACACATGGCGGCAGTGTGAAGAAACGACGTCAATCCCCAAGTTGCGGGCGATATTCTCGCGAGAGGTGACTATTGTGTGAATCGTGAGTTACTTGAGTCATGCTTCACACCCCATCCCCCCCAGTTTATAAACAAGTGCAACAACATTCCAACCCTATATTCGGTACTGAGTATCAGTTTGGTCACAGCAATTCGCCACTCGGGGAACGCATAGGCGAACGTGTCGTCTAACGCCAGCGCCGGGGATCCAGACGGCCGAGCGATCATCATGGCCAAGTCCGCCACAGGTGATGAAAGTTCAGCAGGTCACGAAACCCATGCCAACTATCAGGCAGTTAGCGCACAAGCGGATAACTATCCTCGATAGGGGGAGCCGTTGATTTTCATAAGTATGTAGTAGAATGGCGACTATATGCTATAAATGCTGCAACTCCCTGTGTATGGATTACCCGTTGCTGCTATTGTCACTGGTGATGGATCCATGACGGATTTCGAAAAATCAGGCGATTAAAACTCTTGTTACAGCGTTCACACTTGCTTTCCCCCCCCCCTTCTACACAGCCGGTTGTGTAATCTCAAGCACCAGTGATGAGTTTCCGCTGAAGACTGACCTTCCGCTCATTTAATCTCTTCTTGTATCAGGCTCACTCATACTTCTGATTAGTATTCTTTGTTGTTCATGTACCAATTAAATTGACCCAAATCATCTAAATATGTGATGACTGCAGCTGAAAAGGAGGTTAAAAATTATGACGTTCCGCCTGGACCGCTATCTTCACCACATTAAAATTACCACCAGCAAAGTAATGTTCCAAAATTACCATCCTTACTTCGACCTGACATCAACAAAGCAGATTGACGGCTGAATCTCCCAGTTCAGACGGAAGATGGAAAGATACTCGTAGCCAGGGAAGTGCAAGTATCACGGATATCAAAATTATGCCAGGCCAAACAGTTTTTACTCAAAACGAGCACAGGACACCCTGGATATTGATCAGTGAAGCTAATCTAACTTTAGGTTCCGCAAATATTCCCATGTTTAACTTAAAATTCTATTTGGCAAACTTTTTTTTCGGGCCGGTGCAGTTGCATTCATGATGATGAAGGAAGACTATGACAGGGTTTATAAAAATCTCACGATTAAAACTCAACGTTTTCACACCGCCCAGATGGAGAGATTATTGGACTGAGGTAGGGGGATCGAAAACGACTGTCGCGTGCACGGAGTGAACAACTGTCACGACATGAGATCGCCACCTGGCGTCGGCCACGGGAGAAGAGGAGCCTGAATTAGCTTCCTCTGACAGCACAGCACTGGATTCTCTAGTCGTATAGCCGCAGCCTCGGCTCTTGCT